GTGTCCAAGAAATCATTAAATTAATCAGGACCTAATTTCAGTAACCTAATTTGAGTGACAGTGGGTTTCTGTGACACAGGGATGTCGAAAGAAATGAATTAGTTTGGTAACTCTGTTCCAGTCAAGATGCTCCATGACTGTAACTGGCTGTGAGGTGTCCTCATGCTTAGATATTTGTGTCTTTTGGGGCAGATGATTCCCATGGAGTACAATTGCAGGCACACATTCCAGATACCTTGGATGTCACTGGATCTACTACATTTCATGCTACTCCAGGGCATGAAATGGCAACCAGGGTATCAAGGGAGGGAGCAGAGCTGTTTTGGAAGGAAGAATACACAGGACAAAGCGTCTAATGGGGAGGTCCATAAATGGGAACAGAGGCTAGAATACAGCACATGGAAACAGAGAAACTGGATGTATATTTGTTGTTTAAGAGTTAGAAGTAAGAAAATCAGAAAAGGTGAGAAGGAAGACTTGCAGAGTGATTAGGAACAGGATAAGGACAGCTGGAGGGAAAGGCCCTGGAAGAGCCTTCACTGATAACAGAGGAAGATCTGTTTTCAGACTGAATTTATCAGATTGATGTACAGTATTTAAAAGTATGTCATAATAGTTATGAGTAATGTTTTTTTAGCAAACTGTGCTGAGCAAATCTAGTAGTGGTTTCAGTGCAGAGAGAGGAGTGATGTGCTGAAGAAAGTAAAGAAAGGCTGTTCTTTTAGGGCTTCACTAGCTGTGTTTCTTTTAATTTTTTGCTTTGTGAGTGTTTTGATTTTCAAGGAGATGTGGTTTGGGGGGGCTTGGAAGAAAACAAAGTTTTGGAAAAAATTGAAAGAAGAAAGACTAAAAAGTTAAGAGACCAGGCAAACCCAAGTCATTTGTTTATTTTCAGCTGATAGTTTTACTACAGTCTTAAGAAATTCTGCTGATTTATGATTTCTGAAATTATAACAAAACTGACACTGCCAGTTAGAAAAGAATTGTAAATATTATTTTCCTCTGTAGGTATACTGATGTTACAGACTCTTGCCATTTTATCATCTTAGTATTGCATAATGCAGCCAATTCATGTTTTCCAGAGTTTCCCAATTAACTTAAGTGCTCAGAAGTTTCCATGACCTTTAGGTTCCTTTGTACTCTTATGTTGTTTTTCAGAGAGTATGATAGACTTTGTGGTTTACTTCCAGTGTAGCCTTTTTTTATGGAAAAGATGTCACAATGCAAGAAGACCATGGTTTTGAGTTGTGGTTTTGAGCAATTAATACAAAGCTGATTTGACATACCTTCTTTTTTTTTTTTTTCCTAAAAATGTCTTATCAAAGAGGAAACTGTTTAAGTAGCTCATAAAAATAAATGTTGGCAGCAAAATCTCATATTGAAAAAAGTATCATTATGCTGAATATATGGCAAAAATAAGTTGAAGAAGATCCCCACAGAGAAGATTGTTGCAGGATGCATGCACCCATTTCATATTCTCTGCTATAACTAATGTTCACTATACTCATGGTTCTTGCTTCTGTTTTGCCTCTCAGTCTCTATGACTTGCTGGAAAACTTTCTGTCAAGTTTGGGTTGTCCTGTTCACTCAGATCTGTATGAGCTCCGAAACACAGGCCTCTATTCCTCACTGAAATGTTGGCGATTTCTCAAAAATCTTACTTATGGAGTTGGAGAAGGTGGCAGGTGGAGAGCTTCCAAGGAAGGGTGCATGGTTGCCTCAGTGGGTGCAGCACCACATTCATGTGGTACTTCCCATCCAGACCTAAACTCTTCATCTGTCTGCCTGGAGTATAAACTCCAGGGCTGAATCCTCAGGGCTGTCTGCCCCTGCCCCTCTAGGCATGGATTTAGAAGCCTGAGCTTGTTTGTCAGAGCTCTTTGACTCTTTATTTGAGGACAGTACTGAACAGTAGCTCCTACTCATGTCAGAACACTTATAGGTGTATATATATGCAAATATATATATACACACACACAGAGACATATACACATGCATATACCTATGTGTATAAATAGGTAGCCAGTTGCTCCAGTCTCCATGTCCTGAATAAAGGATTATTACCCTCGTGTTGCTAAATATTTAGTAATTATGAAGCCAGAAGATGTTGTTTATACATGCCAAGCCCAGTCTGCTCTTTTGGTCCATGTTTGTTTCCACACATCCATCAAGGCCTTGCAAAGCAAAATGTGACTGCTGACAAGTTATTCCCACAATGTTGCAAATGTTCAGATCTTCCTGCAACCTGATACAAGAAGGCCCTGCTGGCAAATTTTTTCTTTTTAACTGAAATTTTATTGAAAAAATGCAGTAGACTGTGGTGAGTTTACACCAGTGCATGCAATTATTTTAAGTATGAATAGGGCAGTAGAATACTAAGAAAATTCAGCTGTCATTTTGAAGAACTGTGATATGGACATTTAATAAAATAATATAACTCATAAGTGTGTGCATATATGTTTATATATATGCATAATCGAAACTTGTATATACATGTATTCATATGAGAATGAGAATTAATTAGAAAAATAAGATTTAAAAATAAATGCAGAAATAGAACAACTAAATATGATAAAACAATACTGTTGCTGTAAGAGGAGGATAAACCTCAGCTACACTTTTATTTTCCTTAAATGATTTTTAGATGTTTACATGAATGAGACTCCTGTTCCCAAAACTGCTCAGGAGATTTTATTCTGTAAGAGCCTTTGCTTTTTATTTTCTGTTCTGCAGAGGCTAAAACCTGTTAAGGAATGAATTTACGTGTATTTGGGAGACTTTTTAATATAATATATATAAAGTGTTGCAGTTGTCCCTCAGTCAAGGAGTCAGTGTATTAATTGCCTGGAAACCAAACTGCTGTATGAAATTAGTCCCTTTGGCTTAGTATATAAGGACTTTCTAAACTTAAATGTGTTACTTTTTCCAAGCCTGTTTTGAAGAGAGGGTTTTGATTTTGGCTTTAGGGAAGAAGCATTACCACAGTGTTACCACAGTGTCATCTCTTCCTGCACACCTGGAAACCACAGTACCAGCAGGAGCTGAGACCAAGCCCAGAACTGGTGTTCTGTCTCAAGGCATCTCTCCTCTGAATAAAGACTTGAAAATGGTTGTGCTTTACAGTGGTGAATGAGTGCTACTGCAGCTGTTGTCTGTTGAATGTAATGTCTCACATGTTGGCCTCTTGCTATTTTGTGTGTGTGTGTCCCACCCCTAATTCTCAGGTGGGTGTGTTATGGGTGTGGGGCTGAATTTATAAACATTTTATGCTGCTGAAAAGAATAAGAAATACAAGGGTTTGGCAGTGTGACTGGAAAACTACTTCTAAAATGTGTTTGTTTTCATACTTGGTACATCTGACTAGGCCAAGAGATCACTCTTTTTCTGACATTGAAATTGCTTCTTTGCTTGTCTGTACATTATTCCTAATCAGTTTTTTAACCTCTGATTATATTTCTAATAATAAATGGATCTGTTCATTAGTCTAAAAATGTGGTTTTCATGCAGGAGAGGTTCTTTGTCTTGTTCCATTTTTATTTTGACTTCTTTTCAGGCTGAAAAACTGAGTGCTCTTTCCCAGCCTGACAGGGTCAGATACTTGTTTTGTTTAAAATACCTAAAGGTCTGAATGTTGTTTAGGTGATTGCTTTGTGGTGTTTCCCTGTTGTGAAAGCAAATTGTGTTTTAGCCAAATTAATAGTGTAATCTTGGTCAACAATTATTTGAATCCCCCCTGAATGTTTTCTCTTATTTAGCATTAGTTGCATTTTTTGCATAGGTTAAGTGACTGATAATTAACTATAAATGATGATTTCTTTGAAGAAAATTGTCAATGAGACAGAAATCTTTTCAAATTTTAGCATTTCATCCTAAGTGTGTGTGCATGGAGGAAAAGGGTATTATGGATATGGATACATTCATGATGGGTGCATATATAAATATGCCTAAATCATGGCAGGCTTTCTCCTGCTTTTGCAGGATGTCAGTTTGAGTAAGGCATCCTAAAAATTATGTTTTACCTGTATTCATTGCTCACTGGCTTATGTTATTTAAAGATACATCAGTCAATACTTCAATGCTCCATGTACTGAATAGCAGTGAGAGACATGAATTTTCTTATCCAAACTGATACAAGCTATTCTAATGAATGCTAAAGCACTAAAATATTTGAGGTAGATTATCTTTATTCTTTTGTTCAAAAAAAGAAGCTCTAACTTCACAAGGACAATGACTATGCTAGTAATTGTGTACCATAGGCCATGTTTTACAGGATTAGAGTTTATATATGCGCTTCTGCAGATAATTCTGGGATTCAGTGCTGTTAATGAATTTAGATATCAATAGGCTCTGAACATACAGAAAGGTTTGGATCCTGAAAAAGTAGTGTTCTTATCTGAATGGAGGCAGATATTGGTTGCTTGAATATCTTTTGTCTGAAAATTGCTGAGCCATAATTATACCATAACTAAGATATAACCAAAACTAGAAATATGTATGTTTCTTTCCAAACCAGCTATATTGACTTTTCTCTTTGGTGGAGGTTCACATGTTATGAATAGTGTTTTGTTTGTTTTGTAGTATTAATTCACAGTGGAGCTGAAGCAGGGATTTTGTTTTTGCTTTTGTTGACCACTTAGTTTTGCCTTTGTCTAGCTAAGATCTTTCTGGGAGTTGTGACCATTCTTTTTAACTTTGTTTTCCATGATGTGCAACCTTGGGGCATCTCAGTTTATAGAGATAACGATTCATTCCCCATTGGCAAAAAAATTAAAGAGAAATTACAATGGAAACACTCGTGTACTTCTTTTTTTCTCTAAAACACAAAAGAAAGAAAACCAAAAAACCCTTCCAATAATGTAATTGAATGTAATCTTGCAAATAGATAACTTACTATTAATGGCTCAGTTTCGTTTTTATTTTTATTTTTTAAATATTATACAAGTTAGGAGTTGACAGGTTAAATAATTCTTAACACAGGTTTGTTTCTTTCTGTTTTGTAGACAACTCTGCTGAAGCAGATTTATGGTTGCTGAACAGTTGCACAGTAAAAAATCCTGCTGAAGACCACTTCAGAAACTCCATCAAGTAAGTTGTTTCCTTACAAAGATTTTTATTTTTAACTATCAGTGAGTATTACATGTCTTAAAGCTCTGTGTTTTCAATCCAGAAGTATTTTTTGTTTTAGAGCGAGAAATGTGCTGAGTTTGTGTTACAATGGTGAATTCTCTAGAATAGATTTGTAAGGTAGAGCATATTTTTTAAAAATAGCAATAACTTGCAAGTGATTATCACTACACTTATTTAGGAGAACTGCTGACCCATTTAGATACTGACTTTTATATCACTTTTCAAGACAAGGTGATAGTCTTCTGAAGAGCTGACTGTGATTTTGGTTTTCTTTTTCTTTTTTTTAATAATATGTGAAATATTAGGTTGTTGCATTTTTCATCTACTTGAATATGGCCTAACTGGGACCTGCTTTTCAGTGGTGTGCAGCAATGGCCATAAATTAAATGACAAGAAGTACCATAACATGAGAAAGAACTTCTTTATATTGAGGGTGTCAGAGCACTGGACCAGGCTGCCCAGGGGCTCATGGAGTCTCCCTCTCTGGAGACATTCCAAACCCACCTGGACATGTCCCTGTGTCATCTGCTCTGGGTTACCCTGCCTTGGCAAGGGGGCTGGACAAGATGATGTCCGGAAGTCCCTTCCAACCCTGCCAATTCTGTGATTCTTTGTAAAGGGTATCTGGTATGTATTTAAAATCAGCTATTTGATGATACATTTCCTTGAAAGATTAGCTTATAATAGAAGTTGTGTGAGGAGTGTGTTTTATTACTCAGTACCATTCCATTGATGTCAAACAAAATGACATGGTAGTGATTTTGCCTCCCATTTCTGCAGAAGTGTGGTTGTGATGAGTAACTAGAAAACCTGTACACATACAGCTGTCACTGTCCAGTATAAAGAAATACTATGGTATGTGTCTTGTAGATTTTATATTTAATAAACAAGTTTGGCTACTTGTGCAGTCATTTCTTTAGTGTGGTGCACTGGAGATGGACAGGCTGCTGAAATCCATTTTGGTTAGAAGCACATAGTTCTTGGGAAGAGAAAGAGGTGAGAGGAGCTGGATATAAGCTACCTGCTCACATTGCTGGAGTTACTAACAGGCTCTCAGGGCTGTAACCTGGAACAGAAATCACTTGCCTGCTGTAGACGGCACAGCAGAAATTTCTTCCATCCCTGAGAGTGCTTCAGTTTCTGGCTGCTGGTGTTGCACTTGGTGACCAGAATGGCTTATGCCTTTTCTTCTCTGTTGCCAAAAAAAAGCAAACTATTCCCAGAATACTTCCAGCAGTTTGTGTTGGCCAACAGAACTGATGACAAGATACTTTCCAGCTCAGTTGTGGCCATCCTTCTACTTTACTAATCCTGTGCCAGAAATGATGTGGTATGGTGTGTGTCCCAGCCAGGAGAACAGAGCTGGTTAAGAAAGAGGGCCTAACTGAAATCAAATGACCAAAAATATTTCTTTGAAGAACATGTTTCTGTTGCTGCTCTGTTCATGAACCTGATGTTACTTGTAGCCTGGATTTATTCTTTTTTATCTTTATATCTCTCTATACTTGTTCTTTTCCTGATTCATTCTCTGATCTCAGATCCTGGCAGTTCCCAGCCACGGAGAATGACATCTTCTCTAGTTGTTTCTGGTTTTTCATAAGGTGCATTAAACGCAAGGGAAGCACATTGTCTCTCTAAAGAACACAGCTTCTCCCAAATAGTTCTTAATTTGTTACAGCAAAAACCCAGTGCATGAAGTTTGGGTGATACAAAATGAGTTGCCATTATATCCTGTCACAGCAGCTTGTTGGTAACTATGGAAATCTTTGTTTTTCTCAATTGACTAACAAAATAAACATGTAGTGTGTGTGCGTGTGTGTGTGTGTGTTGCCAAAGCAAACATGCTTGGAGCAGAAAAATTAATACCCAGCCATGTAAAATTCTTCTTAAAAAAAAAAAATCAGTCTGAAAGTGTTTCATAGTATTATGCATGTTATTGAGAAAAGTATTTCGTTATTCTCTTCCCACTGCAACAGTTCCTACATTGCTTGCATATATGACTTTAAAATGCATTGATTCCAACCAGTGGTAGTTTGTTCCCACTGGTGGTTAAAGAATGACTGTGAAAAGTTGATCCCTCACTAAAACATGGGCCAAAGAATGTGCCAGAACCCAACAAGTCCTGTAGGTACAACCTTTTTTGGTCTGATTTTCTTCTAAAAAAGGAACAAAACCACTCCCAGACACTCTGAATCTTTGCAGATGTGTATACAGCTGATACAAGATGACTGACAGTATAATCTTTATGCTTTTTTTTTATCCTTACAGCTCTTAGGAATAGTCTCTTGTTCTTCAGTATCAATAAAATTGAACTTGTTGAACCAGAGTAATGATATGGAGGGCAATGAGTTGTTTAAAAACGTTAGCTTATGGATGGGAATTGAGAGAGTTTCCTGGGCAGATTTTATTCTCAGTTGCTAATCTTAAAATCAGATTAAAGTAGAGTTAGGCAATAGCAGTAAAGAATTCCCACTATAATTAAGTGGGGGGATTAAAAAAAATTATTAAGGCTTGTGTTTTGATTAGTGATGCATCTACCTTTTGTGCTTTAGTAGAGTATTTGCTGGGCATTCCAGGAAATGAGCAGCTTTTGGAAAGTTCACTTTTTTGAAGTTGACTTTATTTTGCCTTAAAATGAAATGATACTTAAAAATAATCTATTTATTTAAAAGTCAGTAATATCCTTTTTTTGTTGATAATATTTCATTATGATGTCTTTGTTTTGGACCTGATAATCTGTCAGTGTGACTAACTTGGATGAGTTAACTGTATATGTATATATGTGTTTTATAAACAGTATAAATAACAAAAAAATAAGTAAAATATCATTAAATTTCTTCCAGAGACATGTCACTATTTATTTGTTTTGGGGGATGTTGGCTAGTTTTTCTGTGGTTCATTTATGTGCCTCTGCTTATTGTGTTTGTGGCTTTTTGTTTGTTTGGTTGGCTTTTTTTCTCATTTGCAGAAGGTTATCAGGTAACATTTTCTGCTATCATTTACTTTAGTCAAAAGTAGTTTTCTTAAAACTTAGCTGTTGGTAATAGCAAGAAAAAAATTCAAAAAGTTACTAACCTTAACTTGTGTAAGACTGTTTGATGAAGAGATTTAAGCCCAAGATTGTGTGCTAGAGGAACTTGCTTCCTTTAAAATAAAGTTATTTTTCTCTTCAGTTTCATGCTCCATTAATTTCTATGTGCTCTGATACTCTTTTCTTCACTGTTTCATCTCAGATATGTAACCCAGTTTTCCTGATGATCTCTGAAGATTCAGAAACTCTTGAGTGTTTCTAGCTAGCTGTCTTTTCCTTTGCTTGATCCTTTCCTAAGTGCTGGTATAAGTTACTCATGTGTTTGGGGACTTTGGCTTTTCCTTAAGGAGTTCTCCTGCTTGTTGAAGTATTATGGAGAGGAATTTGGTGTCTTGCTTATCAAAACAGCCAGAATGTTGTCTGGGAGGAAAGATGTGGATATGCTGTTGAGGTGTCCATGGCTTGTCTCATGGTATAGAATAAGCCACTATAAATGATCATCTTTGTTACTATATACAACGAACATGTAGCATTAACATACATTCTCTGATGTATTTGTTGCTGCATTCACTTTAAGGCACGCTCCAGTGTGTGTTCAACCCTTTTATTTCTGATAGCTATGAGTTGTGACAGAGATGCGAGGGCTTTTAGCACTGCAGTAGCACCATGTGGCTTCCAGTTCTGTCCTTGCTGCAGTTTTCACCAATTCATGAATAAACACTGTGTGTGGGATCTCACTTTCATGCTAGAAGGGGCATCAAACCCCACAGAATTTGTGGAAATGTTTGTTTAAGAGAACTGTGATTGTAGATGTTGCAAGTTGTTTGAAGCTCTCAGTGGATGAAATTGAAGAGTAAATGGCCTGACTGCCTTTGGATGCTACAGGATTTCTGTTAACCAAATGCAATTGTGTTGATGTTAAGTACAGAAGGAGGTTATTCTTTAAGAAATACAAAAGCTTGTTCAAAGAATAATTTTCTGCTGCTTGAAATCTTTGCAAATGAAAATAACCCTGGAAGAAGATTTTTATGAATGTAATTTATATGATGTGTTTTGAAATTGAACAAAATGAAAAATTGCACACTATGCAGAGTTACGACTTTCTTTAACGCAGCATTAATCCTTTTGCTGTTCCTAATACATTCCCAGTGTAGAAGTAGACTGTGATTTCAGTTGTTTATACTGTTCATGAAATACAATCTAAGCTCCAGGAGAGTAAACATAAGTATTTCCAAGTTCTTTATTTTATACATCCTGCTAGCATGAGAAGATGTACTGTTCATGAAATACAATCTAAGCTGTGATGTACTTCCAGGAGAGTAAACATAAGTATTTCCAAGTTCTTTATTTTATACATCCTGCTAGCATGAGAAGATCACTTTCCCCAGGTGGGAGTTTCTGAGCTGAGTGTCACAGCCTGGCTGTTTGTTGCATTTCACAGAAATATGTGTTGCCATGACTTTGGGTGATTGTGTTGGAGTACTTAAGATAACGGGGCAGTACTGAGAAATGTAGCTAGGGGTACTGCTGTTCCCCACGTGTATTGAAGAAATCTGAGGAAGGCCTGGATTCTCTGAAGTAAAAATGCCTGCAAAACAAACTTCATTGGGTGGGAGGAAGTTGGACACTTGATTTCTTTTTCCCCTAAGACTGCTGCCAATAGTACTCCTTGCTCAGACTCTCTAAACTAGTCTAGATCATGTTGGTGAAAACGTTGCCTTTTGCCAGGATGAAAGGCTCACACACCTACAGATTGGCAAAGTGCTTGTATTCAAGATTTATGCCATATTCACAGTGAGAGGAATTCCTTGCCCAGCCAATAGGAGTTACTTGGTTTTGAGTGGAGGCTGTAAGTCAATTAGCTAGAATTTAAAATCACAATTCTTTTCTAAGAACAACTTGAGAGGCTTAAGTGACTGCTGAAGTT